TAACAAAATTTATTTTTGTTTTTTATTATCGACATAAACACATTAAAAAAGTTGGTTATTGTAGAAACCCAAAATTTTTAAGCCCTGCTGTGTGTAAAAACAAGTATTTTTTAAATTAAAGTTGAAGCTTTGTTTTACAAGGCATAAATTATAAAATAAAATTATTTAAATGAGCAAATTTTCATGGATGAATTCGATGATTTTATTTACACTTTGATTAGCTGAAAAATGTAAAAATTCTCCAAGGGATGATTTGTTAAAGGCATATAATTGAGAATAATATTCGTCATTTTCACTAGCGTAAAGTTCTGTATCTACAGTGCTATTCTGTAGCACATCAAGGTCACAAAATCGAATTTCTTGAAAAAAGTATTCTCTCACCGATCCTTTTTTCAGCAAACAAGGCATTCTTATGTTGCTTTTCCTTCGTTGAAATGGTTTTAAGAAACCTTGCATACTTTTAGGATATTTGTGCGTTGGAACAGACGTAGAGGCGTCGTCGCGTTTACCGTTATCGATTATTACAACCCTATTACTTTTTTGTTCAATAAAAACCGCATAGTAGTAATGAATATTTGATAAAATATAGGCAGCTTTTTCATTCTTCTTGATAAAACAAGACAATAGAAATTAATTATTCAGCCCTATATTATTCAGCTATAGTTCATTTTTCAAGTGCGTGGAAATATTGACTCAGCCCAAAGTACACGTTTCACAGTTAACTCGACAATTTTCAAATGTGTTAAACAATTTTGAATCAATGTATGTATTTGCAAAAAAGATATGAACGTCAAAACGTTGTTTCCTTAAAATGTCATTTTATGGTAACTTAAAATTGTTTGTTTGTTTTATGTGTTTTAACATGTAATCTTGGATTACACATTGTACACGAATTGAAAATATAATCAATGTCACCCTTAGTTTGTAACCGGCGATCAAAAAGTTTTTAGATTAGAGTTGGCCATGGAAATATTTGTCGTGTCTTTGATTAAACTGTAAATATCAGGCTTAACCTCATTTGTATTTCAATAATTGGATTTTTGACATTTGTATTGTAATTAAAGACATGGCAAATATTTCCATAGCCAACTCTAATCTGAAAACTTTTTGATCTCCCGTTATATATGTATTATGTTACATAATTTTAAACTCAAACTTTTAAATTGACGATAATCTGACAAAAAGAAATTGTATTATGGACAAATTTCCAAAAATTTGTGACTGCCTTTGATTATATTTTTATTGTTTTCTTCGAATAAACCTTTGGTAAATATAATATGTTAGTTTAAAAGGCTAACATTAACTAACATGTGTTTGTTTTCAAAAATTAAGTTGTCATAATTTTGATAAAAACTATACAAGATAGCTTTAATCGTAATGGAGGCCTATCACCAATCATAAAACCAAGTATTTTCGAAAAATCGCGGAGCCCTTGTGTCTGGTTTTTAAAGTAGTTTCAAATAATCTCAGAAACCCGTTTTTTGTTTTTGAACTAGTGTGAAAGAATCTCGGAGACCATTTTTATATTGTTTTTGAAGTAATTTGAAAGAATCTCGGGGACCCTTGTGTTTGGTTTTTTGAAGTAGTTTGGAAGATCTCGGGGACCCCTTTTGTTTTGTTTTTGAAGTAATTTGAAAGAATTTCGCGGACCCCTTCTGTATTTTTTTTGAAGAAATTTCACGGATATCCCTTGTCTTGTTTTTGAAGTAGTGTGATAAATCTTGGACACATGTACTGTTTTTGAAGTAATTTGAAAGAATCTCGTGGACCCTTACTGTATTGGCCTTGAAGTAGGAAAGAATCTAAGGGACTCCTTTTGTTTTCAAAAATGGTGTAGTTTAAGAAAATCACGGAGCCCCTTTTGTGTTATTCTTGAAGTAGTTTGAAAAAATCTTGAGGACTCATTCTATTTTCAAAAATGAAGTAGTTTGAAAAAATCTCGGGGACCGCTTTTGTTCTGTTTTTGAAGTAGTTTGAAAGAATCTTGGAGATCCCTTTTCTTGTTTTGAAAGTACATAATTTGAAGAATCTTGGGGACCTCTTTTGTTTTATTTTTAAAGTTTGAAAGAATCTCGGAGACACCTTTTGTTTTGAAAAATGAAGTAATTTGAAACAATCACGGGAACCCTTGTGCTCGGTTTTTGAAGTATTTTGCTGGATCTTTCTGTATTGGTTTTGAAGTAGTTTGAAGGAATTTGGAATTTCTCTTGTCTTGTTTTTGAAGTAGTTTGAAAGGATCTTGGGGAGCTGTATACCTGGTTTTTGAAGTAGTTTGAAGCATCTCAGGGACCCCTTTTGTTTCGTTTTTGAAGTAGCTTGAAATAATCTGGAGATCCTTTTCTGTATTGTTTTTGGAGGAGTTTGAAGGAATTTCGGATATCTCTTGTTGTGTTTTTGAAGTAGTTTGAAAGAATCTTGAAGATCGCTTTTCTTGTTTTTGAAGTACACAGTTTGAAGGATCTTGGGAATCTCTTGTGTTTTATTTTTGAAAGTTTAAAAAAAAATCTGGGGGACGCCTTCTGTATTGTTTTTGAAGTAGTTTGAAGGACTTGCGAATAACCCTTGTCTTGTTTTTGAAGTAATTTGCAAGAACCTCGGGGAATCCTTTTATTTTCAAAAATTAAGTAGTCTGAAAGAATTTCGGGGGCCCTTTGCCTGGTTTTTGAAGTAGTTTGAAGGATCTCGGGGACGCTTTTTGTTTGGTTTTTTGAAGTAGTTTGAAAGAATTTCCGGGTCCAATTCTATCTTGTTTTTAAAGGAGTTTGAAAGAATTTCGGATATCCCTTGTCTTGTTTTTGAAGTAATTCGAAATAATCTTGGGGATTCTCCTTTTGTTTTCAAAAATTAAGTAGTTTGAAAAAATCTCGGGGATCTCTTTTGTGTTGTTCTTGAAGTAGTTTGAAATAATCTTGAGGATCCCTTGTGCTGTTTTTGAAGTAGTTTGAAAGAATCTCGGGGACCCCTTCTATATTGTTTTTGAAACAGTTTGAAGGAGTTTCAGATATCCCTTATCGTGTTTTTGAAGTAATTGGAAAGAATCTTGGGGACTAGTTTTGTTTTCAAAAATTAAGTAGTTTGAAAAAATCTCGGGGTCCTTTTCTTGTTTTTGAAGTAATGTGCAAGAACCTCGGGGAATAAAATGAAGTACACCGAAAGAATCTCGGGGACCCCTTTCCTGGTTTTTGAAGTAGTTTGAAGGATCTCGGGGACGCCTTTTGTTATGTTTTTGAAGAAAGTTTGAAAGAATTTCGGGACGAATTCTGTCTTATTTTTAAAGGAGTTTGAAGGAATTTCGGAAATCCCTTGTCTTGTTTTTGAAGTAATTCGAAAGACTCTTGGGGGATTCTCCTTTTGTTTTCAAAAATCTTGAACATCTGTTTTGTGTTGTTTTTGAAGTAGTTTGAAAGATTCTTGGGGACCTTTTTTTTTTGTTTTTGAAGTAATTTGAAAGAATCTCGGGGAGTTCTTTTATCTTCAAAAATGAAGTAGTTTGAAAGAATCTCAGGGACATCTATGTTTGGTTTTTGAAGTAATTTGAAGGATCTCGGGTACCCCTTTAGTTTTATTTTTGAAGTAGTTTGAAAATATCCGAGGTATCCCTTCTGTATTGTTTTTCAAGTAGTTTGAAGGAATTTCGGATATCGCTTGTCTTGTTTTTAAATTAGTTTGAAACAGTTTCGGGGACTCCTTTTGTTTTCAAATATGAAGTCGTTTGAAAATATCTCGGGGAACCCTTTTTGTTTTTGAAGTAATTTGCAAGAATCTCGGGGACTCCTTGTATTTTATTTTTGAAGTAGTTTGAAAGAAGTTCGAAGATCCCGTATCTTCTTTTTGAAGTAGGTAATTAGAAATAATCTGTTTTCACTTTTTAATTCAAGTGTTGCGGTCGATTTTGTTGTGTGCTGATCACGTTTGTGGTTTAGTATTTTGCCCGTTTCATTGTTCATTCTTCGTTTAAAAAAAATGTTATGTTACATAAACTGATAGTTTTAATCAGTCGGCATCTAGGGGAAAATCTAGTGATGTATCATTGGAAAAATAGTAATAATTTTTTTTATATAGACAGAAAGGGGATTAGGTTTTATGTCAAAATAATTAGCCACACTGACAAAACTGTGTCTCCATTTACATCTGTTGTTTGGTTTTCTGGGACCTACGTTTCCAAAAAAGATGAGGAACTAGTAACTATAAGGGTTTTTTTAATCGCTCGTTATAAGATATCGAACCATAAAATGTAATAGGTGTTGGAGTTTGAAAAAAAAGTTCTTTAATCATAACTAATAAGAAATTTTGACCTTGATATGGCACAAAATGGCGGAATAAATTACTTTTGATGTGGTGCACCAGCTTTGGGAAAAAAAATTAAATTACATTTTTGCATTGAAAATCGCACGAACAGCCTGTCCTGAATCTATTGATGGTTTAAGACATTTGTTATTTAACCAATAGAAACTCTTGATTTGTTGTTTACCTATTTGTATCTATTATTAATATAGTGGCATATTATTTTATACGGAACTTTCATATTATGAAGACTATTTTCCGAGTTAAATTGAATATTAGTCATATCTTTCGTTATGAGGTTGATATCAAAGCGCTATTTCTGACAGCAGAGAAAAAACAAATTTATTTGATGTTCCACTTCACTGAAAAACACACACTTCAAAGTTCATATATCGAAAAGTGATTTAATGTGTCTCCTGTATAAGATAGAATCAAATATCAAATAAAGTTGAAAACCTCTTCACCAAGACTGAAATAGCTTTCCTAAATAGGCGCCATTGAGTTTGTTCTTTGTCGTTATTGCACTACGATAATAATAGTGATATAGATTTTTGACCTCGTTGAACAAGAATTTAGACCAAAATTTAATTTTGCACGATATCGCGTTTTTAATCACTCATCATCTTCCAGGGCATTTGCCTACGACAGAACAGCAAGAAGTGCGGCTGGACGCGGAACCACGCCTTGGCGAGTTGTCTAAAAACATCACCACTTACCATTTCCCGATGGTCCGGATAGAAAGTCTGCTCGATCAGAGGGAAGCTGTCCTTTCCGAGCCTTCTCTGGAGCTGGACCAAATGGCCAAAAACCCACGGCTTGTCCTACAAAGAGTTGTTGAGTGTTGTATTTTTGTTATTTATTTTTAATTATTTTTAGTACAAGTTAAAAAAAAGATATTACACTTGACTGAACTGTATTTTAAGTCAACCCACCTGGAAGTTGTAAATTGAGTTTAAGTTATTGATACTTGGAACGCCACCAAATTTTAGTGCCAGAAGCAGTTTCTTGTAGTTCTCGCCCGCGTCCTTCAGATTCTGTCTAACCTGAAAATGGAATTCTTGTATTTGGCAGAAGATCGACGCCGATTCGATTAGGGACGCGATCGTCTTGTTTTTTATACTAGCTATATTTTAAGCTATTTTTGTTACAATGTAAGATACACATATTTTATTAATAAAATGATTTGCATCGATTCGGACTTTGAAAGGCTATTTGGGTCGCAGCGCGACTTAGCATTCCGGAGATATTGTTCTCGGGGGGACGAAGAAGGCCGTAATCGACGTCGGAGGTCATGGAACAGTCCACTTGAGACTCTTGCTGTTGCCTAATTATGGCAGAGAGCAAATAATGGAATTAGCTCGCGCTGAACTGAGATTTAATAAGAGGAAACGTTCAGCAACCGAATTGAAAAGTCCGGGTTCCGGTTACTAAGTTACGGTAAGTATGTACGACGGAATTTTCCAGGAAACATGCACGCCAGCCTCAAAACGGTGCATTTCATTCAGACCTCAACACTGCAAAATAGGGATATTAAAGGCTCTAGAAAAACGAAAAGTTGCTTTCAGTCTCTGTATTTCAATTCGCTAACAGGCTGGAATTTCTAAATTAATTCTCCCACTCTGAAATTCTGATTATGAATTTACAGGCTACGAAGAGCTCGCAAACAAAAATTCTTGTCTGATTAATCAGAACTGATGTTTTGTTGGATCTTTTCCCAGTCGCGTTGGACCTCGAGCTGAGGGCGATGCAATTTTAATGAGACACTTTTCCAGAGGGTTCGAGGACGCGCCTGTCATTCGTCATTTGGGGCGAACCGTTTTTACGGCAATTTTATTAAATCGAGAATGGGAACATTTTCTTGGTGTTCGAAATATTCGTGAGAATCAATAACTCGCGTTGTTATAGCTTGTGGTAAAAAACCTATATTTTACTAGCTGACCCGGCCACGCGTTGCTGTGGCTAAAGTTTTTGTTATATTACATTATAGTAAACAATCTAAGAGGAACAATAAGAGAACATCAGTCACGGAGTCCACTATGCTTTTTCACACAGATGGTATTTGTAAAAAAATATGGTGATATTCTTATTTGACTTTCTACTACTATAACCCTTTAGTAAGAAAGTAAATAGATAATTGTCAAATTTACCGGTATTTGGATCATACTGTTTGATATTAAGGTGATATTCATCTTGTCCTTGCCAAAATATCAATGGATATTGTAGTGCGTCATATGAACGGTGTAGATCCGAAATCGTACTGACAGTGTTGTCTCGCCGTGTAATTTTTATAGATCTCTTGTCAACTGGATCACCAACCATGATAACAGCAACCTCATCAACAGTTGGAGCGTTGAATCTACCAGCATGTTCACCTAATGGTACTTTGTCGGCTTTTATGACGATTTGATAATTGTCATTTTGCAGTCGTGGCGAAACTCTTTTGATCAATTGAATTAGTTGATTGTGATCTTCTAAAAAATTTTCCAATAATATCACAATTGCTCTTTCCTCTGCTTGTTCAATAAAATTATACAGGCACCGAGTCGTCACGCGCTCTTCACAATCGCCCATAAAATAAATTTGAAGAAATTTCGGATTGTTATCAGGCATTGGCATCAGTGATCCGATTTTATGGTAGACCTGGCCTTGAATTTTGAATGTAGTTTCAAAATTACGTCCATCGGATGCACGATCGCAAATTTTAGTTGCCCCAAATGACGTCATTTGGAAGCAAGAATTAAATTTGCGTATCTTACGCAAAAATAATTTGGAATCATCTGAATTGCCAGTAAGAAGGGATAATAAAGGCTCCGGCGGAGCGGGTAAAGGTGACAGCACAACTTTTCCTGATGCGCAGCACATGCCGGCTGCTTCATTCCGAAATTTCAATGCCTGACAATATTGACATACTTTATCCATTCCACCGATAGCAATTTTTGAATGCGCTGAGTAGTTAATATCTGGTGCATATTCAAAGGCAAGCCGAACGAATGATGCACGTGTTAATGAGCGGCTGATCCGTTGCCTTTGTCGATCTAGTACTCGTACTGTAGCTATGTTTCGTTCTCGTGCCGCTCTTGTTCTCGTAATATTCTGTTGCCGACGTTCGTCACGCTGTTCTTGAGATTCTTGTGCACGACTTTCTGCAATCCTGATTCTTTCAGCTGCATTTCTTGTTTCGATTTGTTCTGGTAATTGCTGAGCTCTTTCAACACGTTTGCGTCGTGACCCTTTGCTGCTCGCGTTGTTGAGGTTAGATTTTTTCGGTGGCATCTGACTGACAATAATAATTTAATCGTTTAAATATTAGAAACCCAGTCGAAAGGTATCGACATCTGTTAGAATCATTTGGAGTTAACAGATAATTGTGAGTGTCAAATAATAGCAGACAAATAATTAGCAATAAATTAAAATTGCGACTATAATTTGAGATTTAAACTATCCTATAACTCAAGTTGGATCGAACTGCACATGGTGTGCGAATTTTATTATAATCGGTTAAGTGGTTTAGCAGTCCATTGAGGACCAACATTGTGACACGAGATTTATATATATTAAGATTGGTTTTGGGACATAGATTTTCCTATGCGGAAAACTTCACGAGGTATAAATATTAAAGGGAACTTTGGATATGCAACGTTATGGTTTAGTCATCCGGAATCGGAAGACGCGGTTAAAGCAGCCATTTATCTGGAAAATTGGAAGGTTGTTTTTTTAAAAAAGTTATAGGTCGTCGATGCAGGGAGTTGGAAATTCGAAAACATGAAAATGTAAATACTTAAGTGATTTTTAACACATTTTTTTTGCTCAATAACGACCGAAACCCTCATGTTAATCAAAATTTTCGGTCGTTTTCATTCTCAAAATTGCTTATTATAAGACTTAGACAAGCATAACGTGAGCAAGTACATGAAGAAAAGTTTAGCATCGATTGGCTTCAGCTTTATCAACATCGTCGTTTATTTTTTTAGAATTTCATTTTCGTTCCGATTTTGTTTTTGTTAGTTTAAAGCAGTATAGGAAATATCCCTCTATCCGCATGAGTTTGTGCTTGCTCGTGTCGTTTTTAAAAAGAAAACACCAAAGTACGAACTTCGTAAGAATGTCAACATATTAGCTCAAACTTTACGTTGTTAAAAACATATTTCACGAAGATTTTCTCAATTTCAAGGCATCGCTAACAATCAACAAAGTTTTAAGTGACTGCATCCAGGGTGTTTAAGTTTGCGAATATCCGCAAACAAGTGATTGAGTTAAAATAAGTGTTGGTAACTTTTTGATTTATGGCCATTATTAAAATCGTTCTCATAATAAACAGTACAATTTTTTACGAGGAATTAATCTGATTCAGAGACGAACAAGGAGATTGTGAACACTTTTTTTTAACTAGTTTGAGGCTTAATTTAGGCTCATGAAAAGTGAAAGCTTGTACAAGTTGTTGAAGAAAAAATATTGCTTTGTAGTTTATAAAGAAAGGTCGTTTCATATGAAAACACCAAATTTAAACCGAAAAATGATGATTCAAGCCTCAAACTCACGATCGTGCCCGAAAGAATACTGCAAGCTGAAGAACAAATTTTGGAACGCGTCGAAGAAGAGCCCGACATCAGGATTTGCAGCTGGAATTAAAGTTTCACAGTTTGTAGTGCATCGTAGATTAAAAACAAGGCACATAAAGTAAAGTTAAATCTCGTTAAGTTTCAGATTTATAATAAAATCCCAGCTCATATTTGAAACACACAAATGCACTTTACTTTCTAATTTCCTAACTGTTCCCTCTGGATTATTCACATACAGCTACTCTGCAAATATTTTAAAACGTTATTCGCACAGATTAAATCTTAAAAACAATTTCGAGCCTACTTGGATGTCACTTTCGGAACAATGACGTCATCAGTACTTTTTTTAAAACCAGAACCACATAAAACTCACACAATTCTTTTCAAAAAAAAGGTTACTATTTAAAAATATGTACATATGTGTATGATGTCACAGCTTTGACATTTCATCATTCCATCCTCGCATACTTACAGTTTTTTTTCTACATTCCATTGAACTTTTCATTATTTTCTTTGCTATAACGTACTACCAACATCCAGCCCGCCTTCTACTTACTAGCAAGAAATCCGGCCTAAAAGACCTCCCGACCCTCGTCCCGCCTCTGAACACGGCCATCGAGACGTTCGCTCCGTCCGAGTTAGCCGTGACCGTGATCTCCTTAAATTCAGCCTGTTCAACCCTGATATCGTAATCGCCGATCCTCTTTCCCCGGAAGTACTTCGACCAGTCCGTGTTCTGGTCGTCGATGACGAGCAAAGTTAGGTGTCTTCCGGATACCGAGGAGGTGACTCGAGTCGCGCTCGAGACCGCCGCCCCCAAGATCGACGCCCCCTGGTCCCTGGCTTGGCCCGTCAACGACTGCACCCGCTGCAGGAGCGACTCCCGCGACTTGGCGGGGCTGCTGGGGGCGCTCGTGGTCTTTGAGCCTGGTCGTAAGTTGAGAGAGAGGTCGGTGACGGTCGATGTCTGAGACGGGGGCGGTGGCGGTGGGGCCTGTAAGAGAATGCAGAAAGGTAGAGACGGTGGAATGATAAATGGGTATTGGGGCTAGTTGTAGCGAAGGGGAATTAATAAATCAAAGTTTTTGGTGGAAGCGGGAGTGGTCTGTCTTTGTCTAAGAGAATTTATACACAAAGAGATACTTTTGGGATTATTCGATGCGGATTCTGCCACAGATTTTAGCAAATAGGGGTAGCAGATTATAACTGCTGTGTATGTACATTAAGCCTAATAGCGTTATATGTGCTGTATTCAAATTTCGCCCCTATGTACCTTATTGGCATTCTCTGATAAAGAAAGACGCAAATAATGAAGTGAATTAATGACTGAAAACAGTGAAAGAAGAAATACAATCAATCTCACAAGAATTTAAAGCGAACTAACTCGAAAATTAGCAAAAATACAAATGAAGCTTTGATATAAACAACTTCGCTCTGTTCGTGCTTTATTTGAAGACTGAAAGCATTAATTAACAAAATAAAGAAAGCTTGCTTTAATCATATTATCACTATGGTTTAGTTAATTTGACCATCGCTACAACGAAGCCCGACATAATGTATTTTAAGATGTAAATGGACGGAGAATAATGTTGTGCTCTTTTGGATTAGTTTGTTAATGGATTTTCACTAAAAGTACATTATTATGAAATCCAAGTAAGTTTTTTTCAGTTTCCATTAAACTTTGGTAGTTTATTATGTACATCGTCTAGATATGGATTTTTGTGAGAGAAAACGACCAATGTCTTACAAAGATTAAACTTCAGTTGGTAAAACCTTTATAAGAGAGAAATTTTTGCTGTAAATTTTTAAGTCCTATTTTATCTGAGTTTTAAAAAACAAAGAAAGCCTCTTACCTTGTTATTTTTAATTAGATGGTCTTGTACTCATTATTTTTAAATATTTCATTTCTTAATAAAGATAATTTTATGTTTTCTCAACGTTTCATCATAGCTAAATAAGTTTCTCGTTCCCTTTATTTGTAATTTAATACTGTTTCCATACTTATTTTTCAAAATTGTTTACACTGGATAGTTCAAAAAAGCATACTGTTAACGTTGTATACGTATACAAACTGATAATTTGTCCCCCTTAAAAAGTTGATGACGTCACCAAAAAATTTCTTAGGAAAATCTTACTTGAAACATATAACACTCATATTTTTACCTCAACATTTAGGGATTACCCGAAAACAAAATAAAATTTGCAGAATTAAGTTGTGTAATTTGTCTAAAAAACTGCACTTGTTTAATGGATTGTCCTTCAGAGGCGTGGGAAGTTCTAGCTAAATAACTTTAAGCCAATTTTTATTTATTGTTTTGTGTGCATTTACGTACTAATATTATCAGAAACTGGGCACTCGTAAAATTAATTGGGGCCCAGGCAGCAGAGAAATATAAAATTAAGCTTTATGCTATTGTGTACAGAAAAAGTTGGACAATGTTATTTAAACAGAACTTCCCTCGCCTCTGAAGTGCAGCCAAAGTTGAAGTTTAAATTTAATTTTTCAGTTTTTCAACTTTTTAATTCAATTTCTACATTTTGCAATTTTTCGTTTCAATTTTTTATTATCTTTATTTTTACAATTTTTTAATTTTAGAATTTTTTGGTTTTTCAATTTCACTTTTTTCAATTTTTCGTTTCGTCAGTTTTTCAATTTGCAATCTTTAATTATACGATATCTCTTCGAGTTTTCACTTTTAAATTTTCCACTTTATGATTTTCCAACTTTCGGACGTTTCAGTTCTTAGATCTTGCAGTTTTCCGATTTCAAATTTCACGAGTATTCAATTTTTAATTATTCATATTTTAGATTTTTCAGTTTTTCATTTCTTCAGTTTTTCGAGAAAACCGAGAAAGTACAAGTTATGCTACGTGAGTTACATTAGGAGTACAGTCCAAAATTATTGAATATTTGACTTTATGTTTTTTATTATATCTCTTGCTTTTTGCGGCAAAAAATTGTTGAAAGAAAACTAAGTATGTATATAAAGAAAAAAAAAAAACAAAAATTAAGCCATACCCTTTGAGAAAATAGGGGCGGGTGGGGGGGGTTTAGTACTTGCTGAGACAAGACTGATTTTGGCAAATGCTATACCCTCTGAGAAAATAGAGGGGCAAGTACTTGCAAAGTTAAACTTATTTTGGCAAATGACATATCCTCTGAAAAAATAAGGGCGGGTGGGCGGGGCTAGTAGTTGCTCTTATAAGACTGATTTTTGCAGACGCCATACCCTCTGAGAAAATAGGGGCGGGTGGGCGGGGCTAGTACTTGCTAAGATAAGACTGATTTTGGTAGATGCCATACCCTCTGAGAAAATAAAGCGGCTCGTACTTGCAAAGGTAAAACTTATTTTGCCAAATGACATAAACTCTGAGAAAATAGGGGGCGGGTGGGCGGGGCTAGCACTTGCTAAGATAAGTCTTATTTTGGCAAATAACATATCCTCTGAGAAAATAAGGGCGGGTGGGCGGGGCTAGTAGTTGCTCTGATAAGACTGATTTTTCCAGACGCCATACCCTCTGAGAAAATAGGGGCGGGTGGGCGGGGCTAGTCTTTTTTTTTAGTGTATAGAATTTTCTTTTTTATTTTGTCCATTCTTTCTTAATATGCGAAGTCTTTTTCCAACAAGAAACTCAAAAAAATGTTCAACTATACTGTTGTTGAAAGAAAATTCTATACACTAAAAAAAAAAGATTATTGAGAAAGCGAATGTAAAATTCATCACAATTGAGATCGGGGCGGGTGGGTAGGCCGCCCCGATCTCAATTGTGATGAATTTTACATTCGCTTTCTCAATAGAAAAAGGTCTAACAATGAATTAAAAAATCATCACAATTCAGATCGGGGCGTGTGGATGGAGCTTAAGCTTTGTTTTTTTTTTTAATATATAGAGTTTTCTTTCAACAGCAGGATATATATATTTTCAGTTTCTTGTTGGGAAAAGAAGACTTCCTACATTAAGAAAAAAGGGATCAAATATAAGCCGCGCCCACCCACCCCTTCTCAATTGTGCGTTATTCATCGAGAGCTGAAGGGCGGAGTTTACTTGCAAAATCCTCCATGCCGCAAAGACCAAGAGATATTATAATAAAAATATGAAGTCAATCTGTTATTCAATAATTTTAAACCGTATTACTAATGTTGTTAGAAAATAAATATCCAATCAGATTTAGGAATTTAACTAGTTTCTATGGAAATATGCAATTTAACACCTTTTAAATTTAAGAAGTTTTACAAGTCTAATGGAGGCAAAATCAGTCTTATCTTAGCAAGTGCTAGCCCCGCCCACCCGCCCTTATTTTGTCAGAGGGTATGGCGTCTGCAAAATCCGTCTTATCAGAGCAAGTACTAACCCCGCCCACCCGCCCTTATTTTCTCGGAGGATATGTCATTTGCCAAAATAAGACTTATCTTAGCAAGTGCTAGCCCCGCGCACCCGCCCCTATTTTCTCAGAGGGTATGGCTTAATTTTTGTTTTTTTTTTTCTTTATATACATACTTAGTTTTCTTTGAACAATTTTTTGCCGCAAAAAACAAGAGATATTATAGTAAAAAACAGAAATTCAAATATTCAATAATTTTGGACTGTACTCCTAATGTAAGTCACGTAGCATAACTTGTACTCTCTCCGTTTTCTCGAAAAACTGAAGAAATGAAAAACTGAAAAATCTAAAATATGAATAATTAAAAATTGAAAACTCGTGAAATTTGAAATCGGAAAACTGCAAGATCTAAGAACTGAAACGTCCGAAAGTTGGAAAATCATAAACTGGAAAATTTAAAAATGAAAACTCGAAAAGATATCGTATAATTAAAGATCGCAAATTGAAAAACTGACGAAACGAAAAATTGAAAAAAGTGAAATTGAAAAAACAAAAAATTCTAAAATTAATAAATTGTGAAAATAAAGATAATAAAAAATTGAAACGAAAAATTGCAAAATGTAGAAATTTAATTGAAAATTTGAAAAACTGAAAAATTAAATTTAAACTTCAACTTCGGCTGCACTTCAGAGGCGAGGGAAGTTCTGTTTAAATAACATCATCCAATTTTTTCTGTACAAAATAGCATAAAGCTTAATTTTATATCTCTCTGCTACCTGGTCTCGAATTAATTTTACGAGTACACAGTTTCTAATAATAATATTAGTACGTAAATGCACACAAAACAATAAATAAACATTGGCTTAAAGTTATTTAGCTAGAACTTCCCACGCCTCTTTATTTGGTTTTAGGGTAATCCCTAAATGTTGAAGTAAAAATAGGAGTGTTATATGTTTCAAGTAAGATTTTCCTAAGAAATTTTTTGGCGACGTCATCAACTTTTTAAAGGAGACAAATTATTATCTGTTTGTATACATATACAACATTAGCAGTAACAGTATGCCTTTTTGAAACATCCAGTATAAACAATTTTGAAAAATAAGTATTGAGACAGTATTAAACTACAAATAAAGGGAACGAGAAACTTATTTAGCTATGAAACGTAGAGAAACCAGGATTTTGCAACTAAACTCCGCTTTTCAGCTCACGGTGAATAAAGCATTCATCACAATTGAGAAGGGGTGGGTGGGCGGTGCTTATATTTTGTCCATTTTTTCTTGATATATTTTTTTTTTCTTAACAAGAAACAGAAAATATGTTTAACTATCCTGTTGTTGAAAGAAAATTCTATATATTAAAAAAAACAAAGATTAAGCCCCACCCACCCGCCCCGATCTCAATTGTGATGAATTTTTCATTCGTTGTTAGACCGAGGGGCGGAGCGTAATACATATTTCTATATTGATTTGAATGAGTTTGTCTTCTCAAAACAGAGGACTAAAATTATTAATTAAACCACAATCGAACAAAATCTTATGAGCATTATAATTCTTATTTCACCATTATTATATAAAGATGTGCGTTTTCTCACATTCTCGAGTAAATGGGGTAACTAACTCGATTTTAATTTGACCAATAAAAAAATTGTGATGACGCCATCAACATGGATAA